CTCAGAGTGCAAGCGTTTGGTAATCTAAAAGATTGGCGAGGTGATATGTCTTCCGAGACACTTGATATGATCAAGGGTACTGGACTGTCACATCTGGCAGACTCCATGCACAACCACTTGGACACTCTACTGCTTACTGCATTTGTGGAGCGATGGCAGCCAGATACTAACTCATTTCACCTGCCTTTTGGTGAAATGAGCATTATGCTGCACGATGTCCGGGCCATTTTGGACATTCCTGTTGAAGGATCCATGGTCGTTGAGGAGCCGGATACAAAGGCCTGCCAGGATTATTGCATGGATGTACTTTCGGTCAGTAAGACTGACCTCGTTGGGACGTTCTGGCAGCGCGGTTCTGTGGCAGAAGGCTCCGTTGTGGAGAAATTCTGGGGTAAAGACCAGTTGGCGTTGGATGAGGCTGGTGCCTGGATTTGGTTGCTGCTGTCTACTACCTTGTTCGACGACAAGAGTGGTAGTAGAGTGACTCCCAAGCTCCTAGCTGAGGTGCTTAACGGCGTGGATGCCAATGGGGGTTACTCGTGGGGATCGGCTACGCTGGCATATTTGTACCGACAGTTAGGTATTGCCAGCAGAGGGGACTCCAGATAGCTTTCCGGCTGCTTAACTCTTATGCAGTCCTGGAATTATGAGTAATTCCCCAATTTCCGACCCCAGGGGGACGTCTACCCCTCAGTCCTAACGACTCCGCACGATCTCAGATGTGGAGCCCACCGACGGGTCAGAGGAAGGACGAGCGTCTCATAGCCATCCGTCGGAAACTTGACATGCTCACTGCCTCCGATGTACGTAAAGTTATTTTATTTAAATTTAGTTACTCGGTATTTAAAATAATTAAATATTTTTATAAATGTTTTTATGCAATTGTGAATAGGTGCAATGGTTGCCATACGGCACCTCTACCCCGCACGAGATAGAGCCGAGGACTATTTATTGCGGGTTAATTCGGTATCGCGATATCGTCGAGACGTACTATCCTTTGCGGTTTCTGCAGCAGTTGGGGTATGTCCAGACAGTCCCTCCCTCTATGTTTGCGCCAATCAGTGCCTGCCGTCTTTGGGAGTCGAGGCTCTACAAGGTTGAGCATTCTGATGTCAGTGCAGTATCTATGTGGAACCAGTTCCCGGTATTGCATACCGTCAACCTCAGTATGTATAAGGCCAGCACAGATGATCGAGCAGAGGCGACTGCGGAGTACATGCAATGGTACCGTCGGGTTTCCCATCCTAAATGTTTGGGCGAGAATCTGCCGGACCAGAACGAGGTCCCTACGCGTGCCAACAACGACTATGTAAGTCTCATGTTAAATTGTAGTTATTATTTGATTACAATAATTTTATTTTTTTTATAAATATTTAACATAAACTTTTTTTTTTCCTTCCATTTCTTTGTAGTAGATGGACCGTGTTTGTAGCCTTTTTTCGCAGTCCTTGCGGAATTTTATAGGTTATGATCCTCTGCGGCGCAACGGTACTCAAATGAATTGGCTAAATTTAAGGTGGATTATGCCAAGTCAAAATAATTATGTAATGGATGTTTTATTATTATTATTATTATTATTGTAAAACATTAATGAGATTGGTTTGTATTTTTCCTTTTTTTTAGACTATATTATTTGAACTCAAATATTCCATAACAATGACATTGGTTCTAAAAAATATACGGTTCGGCTACTCCACACGAGTCGTGTGGGGATTGTATGTTGGGAGTTTAGTGCAAGTTTACTACATTATTGGATAGAGGGGTTCGTTAGCGACGCATAGGAATAAACGGAACTCAATTCCGAGTTCGGACGAGCCTAAACGAGCCCAAAACGTAATGTGGCGTAGTGTAGCCAGGAATCTTGCGACTCGCGACGAGGACTCGCGACTATACTCGCGACTCGCGAGATGAGGTCGTGACTCGCGAGATTCTTGCACTTTTGGCTCTGTCCAACCCGCGAGTCGCGACATCATTTCGCGACTCGCGACATCATCTCGCGGCTCGCGACTTTATATCGCGACTCGCGGGTTGGACAGAGCTAAAAGTCCCATAATCTCGCGACTCACGACCTCATCTCGTGAGTCGCGAGTCCTCGTCGCGAGTCGCGAGATTCTGCCTGTTTCGGCTCTGTCAAGCTCGCGAGTCGCGAGCCACAAGTCGTGACTCGCGAGAAGAAGTCGCGACTCACGAGACAAAGTCGCGAGTCGCGAGTGTAACACACTGCTTTTTTTTCCTCGTTTGTACTCGTTTTAGCTCCGTTTTTCGCGCACTTCATAACAAAACGATCCTTAGCCCTGGTTTTAGCTCGTTTTTTTTATTGTTCAAAATTTATGACATTACACACAATTCAATAACAATAAAAATAATAAAGACAACCGAATAATATTCGTCTTTTATTCATCAATGAATATTTTGTTTCTCATACCACAATTGCAACCTACGCTGGTACTGATCCTCCCAACCCCGTACCGAATTAGTTCGGTACCTAAACCAGAAAGGATGAATAGGCGGTAATGGACAATCAGGAGTCAAATCTACACGAATATAGTGTGCATATACTCTAAGATCAGATCCCAATCTCACGTCGTGGTCGTGTAGCCGTCGATGGTACATAGAGCGGCAATATTGTACAACTTAATTTGTTGAACTGTTGACCATCATGACCAGAGGATAACAAAATGACAGTCGTATTAAATAGAGTTGCGACAGGGAAGAGGTCGGATGGAGTATCCATCTAGTGATGTTGGCCACAAGGGCCCCCGTCCCACCTTATTCGAACGAGGTTGGGGTCGATATCTCTGAAATAGATATACTCGTACAACTCACGGTGGCTGTAAATCTCATTGGCAAGGTTCTCTCGTACGAGTTGCCACATCTCATGGTCCCCGTAAATGTAACTCGCTATAACCCGAAAGCCACAGTTACCATCCACTTTCACGTTCAAGTAGCTCACTACGTGCTCCAACATATGCCAGGGAATACTATTCACGAATTCAAAACCAAATATATCTGTCGACATACCAGCTGAAACATCATAATAGTAATTTTACATCAAAACTTATATAATATAATTTATATTAACACTTTAATTAACGTTCAGTTGTAAAGAAAAAAAAAAAGAAAAAAGTATGTCACTTTGTGGTGCCTCTTGTGACGGTTGAGAAAACTGGCTGCTTGTGGGTCCACGCGAA